CCGAGTTGAAGGACTTGCAGATTTGGTGGGTGGCCCGGAGTGTTGGGGATTCGTGAAGTAATGGGCATAGCGACCGATTCCTGTCCTCCACAGCCATGGACCCCCAGCCCCTTGAAGGTGTAAAGGTTGAGACCGAGTCAGGTGAGCTCAGCCGGCTTCGGGCTGAGCTGGCAGGCGCCCTGGCAGAAATGGAGACCATGAAGGCGGTGGCGGAGGTGAGCGAAAGCACCAAAGCCGAGGCTGTGGCTGCAGTGCAGCGGCAGTGTCAAGAGGAGGTGGCCTCGCTGCAGGCCATCCTGAAAGGTGAGAGGGGCTCTCCCCCAGACTCCCCATCAGCCCATAAGAGGGAGTATCCGCCGGATAAGAAGGAGGACAGATCAGTGGTAGGAGGGTTGCAGGGTGGTCTAGCTCAGGGTATGCCTATGGCCCAGAGCTAGGGCCACCCTTTTCTGATTTGCATAGAGGAACCACACGTGATGGCAGCCACTCTTGTTAGTTATAGCTAAGTTTAGCTCCCTGCTCTGTCTCTTTCCTTGTTCTCTGTCATTTCTCGTCCCTCACTGATGACTGATCAACCTTAAAGATAAGCAAGAAACTTTTCAGTTCCCTGAATGAGTCTTATTTTAGTCTGGGCTCTTGGGTTATAGACTCAGCTTGGGGGCCCAGTCTGTGAATGTGATCCTCCAATTTCCGACCTTCCCCAGGCACCCCTGCCCACCCCTCCCACACACATACACCGTCCTCCCTCCCTCCTCTGTACTTGGGAAGCACCAGCTCTCTTGCTCCCAGGGCCCTGAGATTCTTTTCCTAATTCCTGCCTCATCATTTAGTCAATGGCAAAAGTCTTTGAAACATAGGACAGACCTGTCGCCACCTGCTGTAATGGGGCTCTGTCTGCTTTCTCCTAGCCTGTTGTCCCAGACTCAGATCTCCCTCAATGATCTGGCCTTGACACTGGTTTCCAGAGTAAACCGCCTAACACTCCCATCCCACCATGCGTTTCCGGATCTGGAGCTGTCTCCTACATTTCCAGGCATCCATACTTATGCAATGTAGTTAGATCTTCATACAATTCATCCTGTTATTGACTTCATGTTCTTTAAAAAAAAATTTTTTTTTTTTTGGGTACTAGGGATTGAACCCAGGGGCACTTTACCACTGAACTACATCCCCAGACCTTTTTATTTTGAGATGAGGTCTTACTAAGTTGCTTAGGGTCTTGCTAAGTTGCTATCATTGGCCTTGAACTTGAGATCCTCCTGTCTCAGCCTCTCAAGTTGCTAGGATTAGGGGCTGTGGTTGAGCACTTGCCTCACAGGTATAAGGCACTGGGTTCGAGCCTTAGCACCACATACAAATAAATAAATAAATAAATAAAGATATTGTGTCCATCTACAATTTAAAAAAGTATTTAAAAAAAAAAGTTGCTGGGATTACGGGCATGTACCACCATGCCTGGCAGTAATTGTTCTTTTAATAGATTTACTTCTTAAAAGCTTACATACATGTATTAAAGGAAGCTTCTTATCTCTATAAAAAATAAAAAGGTGTGTCTCAAGTAATAACAGTAGCTTTTATTGAGCACTTATATATGCCAGGCACAAAGCTAAATATTTTATGAGTATTTCATCTTCATAACAAACTATGAGGTAGGAACTATTATCCAACTCCATTTGACAGAGGGAACTCTGAGTCCTAGAGAGTTTAAATAACTTGCCCAAGGTCACACAGCTAGACAGGAGCAGAAGATTTGGCAGGTAATCTGGCAACTGAACCTTTACTCCTAACATTAGTACACATTAAGATAAATAAACGTCTGTGCAGAGAGAAAATGTTTTTGTTCTACCTACTGTTGGTGCCACAGACCTGTAGTGTAAATCCAAACCTCGGGAGCCATGCACTGCCCCCCCCTTCCCAGCATCTCTCCTCAGGAGCCTTCACTTGGGTTTTTCTAACATGCCGCTGTGCCCAGACACATTTGCCACCTTTCGCCTCTGGGCCTCTGCTCCCGCTGGCCCTGTTACCTGGACATAGCTCAGTGGTAGAGCACCCCTGGGTTCAATCCACCCCAAACCAAAAACCCCAAAATATTTGTTGTAGCTGATCCGTATTAATAGGAATAGCCGTTGTGTTTTCAGAATCTATTCTAGGATCAATTGGACAGTTTGTCTCTGAAGATCAGATTTTTCAAATTCTCCCAGTGATTCTTTATCTGAACAGTGTGCCCTTGTAGAAGTCACAGAGACGGTAATTACTGCTTTAACAGAAATTCTGGCCCATCCTGTTGTCTGCATATACAGTTTCCATCGTGAAGTATCCAAGCATTACTTTGAACTGTATCCAAAACAGCTTGGTGACCCAGAGAATCACTTGCAAATCCAGTCCTGTTTTGACCGCAAAATCAAGTATCATCACACTGTGCTCCAGAGCACAAAATAAAGGTTTCTGGTACCTTAGGTCCTACCCATCAACCAGCTGTTGGTTATCTGGAAATTGTTGGCAACCATTCTGCCTGGTCGTGCCACCCACCCTGATTCACGGGCTGCGTATCATCACCTTCAGTCCCTCCTTCACTCTGAGTATGCCCAGATTAGCTGTCACGATGCCAGCTTCTCTGTCCTGTCACCTCTTGGTGAATTTATGTGGTGCAATTGATTTGGACATATGCTTCCAATATAAACCCAGGCAGCGTGGCGACTGAGCCTTTACTTCTGAAATTGGTCCACATTAAGAGAAATACTGCAGCCAGGCGCAGTGGCTCCATGCCTCCCAGTGGCATGGGAGGCTGAGGCAGGAGGATCGTGAGTTCAAAGCCAGCCTCAGCAACCCCGAAGTGCTAAGCAATTCAGTGAGATCCTGACTCTAAATAAAATACAAAATAGGCCTGGGGATGGGGTTCAGTGGTCGAGTGCCCCTGAGTTTAAAAAA